ATTTTCAGTTGGTTTTATAAGAATTTTAACACATTTGCTTGTTTTTGCTCTTGATAATGCAATGTAAAGTTGGCCATGTGAAAATACAAGCTCGGGTAAATACAGTCCAACGAAATCAAGAGTTTGTCCGTGAACTGTATTTATACTCATTGCAAAGTAAGCACGAACTGGAAATTGAGTTCTTTTGAATCAAATTGGACTCGTTTCATTTTCAAGAGGTATAAATGGTATGCGAGATCGAAAAACTCTCTTTCCTTTATATTCTCCAACAGCAATTACAGCATCAATTATGTTTGCATCAAATTTTTTACAGATAAACCTAGTTCCGTTGCACAAGCCTTCAGATGGATTTATGTTTCTCACTAAAATGATATGACAATTTAACTTCAAAATTAATTAATGTGGTGGAATACCATTATGAGTTAAATGTGTTTAAGAAATANTTTTTATTTTCAGTTGGTTTTATAAGAATTTTAACACATTTGCTTGTTTTTGCTCTTGATAATGCAACGTAAAGTTGGCCATGTGAAAATACAGGCTCGGGTAAATACAGTCCAACGAAATCAAGAGTTTGTCCGTGAACTGTATTTATACTCATTGCAAAGTAAGCACGAACTGGAAATTGAGTTCTTTTGAATCAAATTGGACTCGTTTCATTTTCAAGAGGTATAAATGGTATGCGAGATCGAAAAACTCTCTTTCCTTTATATTCTCCAACAGCAATTACAGCATCAATTATGTTTGCATCAAATTTTTTACAGATAAGCCTAGTTCCGTTGCACAAGCCTTCAGATGGATTTATGTTTCTCACTAAAATGATAGGACAATTTAATTTCAAAATTAATTAATGTGGTGGAATACCATTAGGAGTTAATGTATTTAAGAAATCTTCATCAAAATCTTGTTTATTTGTATCCACTGCTTCATTAAAACTATAGTATTTAATTGAGACCTCAGGAAATTGTTCTATTAATATAGCATTTATAAAATCTAAATTCTCATTCTTTGCAGTTAATATGACTCTATTAATCATATGTTCAATATTTTTCGGGTAATCATCTAACTTAGAAAATACAACATCTATCAATTTTTTTCCACAGAATTAGCTTCATTTTCATGAGCAATAATTATTTCATTTGGAAGTTTAATCATATTGTATGAATGTAAACTCTTAGTCCCATTTCCAATTCGTAATAGATATTCAGAAAAAGGTAAATCCAATTCAGCTCTCATATTTTTAACTAGTTTTATTTTAAAAAAAATTGGCCATAAATATGAATTAACAAATGCTGCATTAATTATATCTTCTTTTTGACCTTTTGGAACAACGGGTAATACTTGACGAAAGTCACCTCCTAAAACAATTACTTTTCCTCCAAATGACACATTGTTTTCTGTAATATCTCGTAACATTGTATCTAATGATTCGATAACTAATCTATTTAGCATGAGAGCTTCATCCCATATTATTAATTTTGTCATCCGGAATAATTCAGCTAAGGAAGATTGTTTGCTAATTGAATAGGTTGATTTAGCACTTACTTGAAAAGGGATTCTGAATCTTGAATGTGCAGTTCTACCTCCAGGAAGTAATCCCGATGCTACTCCTGAAGATGCTGTAGTCAAAGCAACCATCCCTTTGTTCTTACAGCTGTAAGTAAAGAGCGATATAAAAATATTTTTCCTGTCTCTCCAGGGCCATCAATAAAATAAATTTCATTATTTTTGTCGAATATGTCACTTAAGATCATATCATATCCTTTTTTGGGCTCTAAATTTAATTTAATTTCATTTCACATAGCATATCTTCATTTGAAACGACTATCTCTAATTCATCAGCAATAGTTTTTGAAATATGATTGTTTTCTTCAAAGTTTAAAAGATGATCAACAATTCCATAACTATTCAGACTTTTACCCGAAAGATGTAATATTTCATGTAGCTCGTTCAAAACTTTTAATTCGGCCATTTTGGTAGTTAAACCTTGTTGTACATAATCTTCCATCATATTTTGCTTAAATGTGTTCCATAATTTTTTGGGATTACGTAGATCACACAATGCTAAAATTGTAGCGAATAGTTGACGCGACGGAATTGGCATTTGATATTGAGAAGCTTCATGCAAACACATTTCACAATCGGTATCACCATTAAGCAAAAGATGTAATACCGCAGCTTGACGAAATGTCGAAGCATAAACTCCATTTACTATTTTTAAATCATCATATGAACTTACTCCTTTAACATCGTTTAGAAGCTTTCTTAAATAATATCTCTCTCCTTCCATGATATTTACAGAAACAATTCGCCCTATTGAATAAGTTTTATTTTTTCTTTCAGACCATACTTTACATTTTGGATTTCACACAAAATGTTCTGGAAAATCTCTGTATAGCAATGTTTTTGCCTTAGCACTGGTAGCGTTAGTACGAAAATACTCCGTTAACATTAACTTTTTGGAAATAATCTTTTTTCACAATTTCTTCCAAATCATCAAATTCTTTGTAAATAATCGAATGATAATTTTCTTCTTTGTAAGTAATCGAATGTAGTTGTAGAACAGTAACAGATGGACTAATATCATATAAGGAAAATGCAAAAATTCTCCACATAACTTCAAGCGGAGATGCTCATCTAGCTGATTGGTACATTTTTATTTCACCATAAACAAAATTGGGATCATCTTCATTTACAAGAAAATCAACTTTATCGTGACCTTTATAAACATATTTATATACATATTTAACAGCCTGGATTGTTGAACATATCTCAATATTAATAGGGGAATTATACTTTGTTAATAAATATGGATTATGTGGAACTACCCACCTGTTATCCAAATAATGATTTCTAATCTTTACCTTTTTTTTCCATTATTAGGTCGTTTATATTTAGGATAACAATTTTTATCTAGGACTGTGTATGCACTAAAAGTTTTTGGGAAATCAAATCTGCATCTATTTTTGTTATTCATACAAACATTTTTTGAATTTAAAATACCACAAGGACTATGTATCATATGTTTAATAACAAGAGATTGGAGATATGGATATTTACTTTTATCCGGAATCATGGCATGAACAAATTTATCAATCAAATCAGGATAAGTAATCTTAGCATCTTTCCTTAGAATCAATAAAATACGCACGTGGGAGTCATCTTTTTTGAAATTCTATAACATACATATGCGCGAAAACTTGTCCAAATATGTGTTTTTTCAAAATATCTCCCTTCAATTCTTCAAGTTTTGCTTTAAAAATTCGAGCTATTAAATCTGATATATCTTGAACTTCATCATTATACTTCAATTGTTCCTTAATTTATGGCCAATTGGGATTGCAGGTCATTATTAAAAATATATCGGGTTTACCAAATCTCTGCACTAAAGACATAGCGTCCATATACATTTTTCTTAAGTCTCTAGGCCCACCAATAAAGGATTGAGGCAAAACTATCACACGTCCAATTTTATTACCTCTTTTTTCACCAATTTTAAGACTATCAACAATTCCTTGATATAATTTAGCTCTAAGAATGCTCTGATTATGTCGAAAATAATCTAATTTAGATGTCTCAATTTTCACGTACATTTCAACAACATATTGTTGTAAAAGCCTTCCAGAATATAATAATGTTGAATTTGATAATAATAATAATAATCTTATTTGTAGTTTATAACAATAATATTCTCTACATGAAAATTGTGTCCTGATTCTCTTATTTTCAATCACTGAAAAAAGAAAATAAAGAAAATAAATTAAAATAAAAAAAATGAACAATTCACACATAATAACAATAAGAAATTTTCTTAATAATTTGTGTAATAGGTCAAGAGATCTAAAAGATGGTGATTTAACAAATTTACGTGTTGTTTCCTTCTGAATCAACTCTTCAGGTGAAAAGAACTGAACATCATCAACGATGTCTTCATTTTTGCAAAAGTGTTACTTCTTTTGACCGGTATTAATTCGTTCAATACCTTCGTGCCACCATATTTCACCATAAGGAAATAAAAGTGGATATTGAAGTGGGTCATAGTATGCAAAATAATATTGTATTCTATTTTTGTTTCCATTTTTACAATGAACCACTATAATCACGCATATGAACTTCATCACAATCGTCATGATCAATCACAATAGCAGCAACTTGTGAAACACTTGGCATGTTATATGTCATTTGATCAATACTTGGGTTACAGTGAATTCGAATAGAACGATTTTCTAAATTAGGAACATTTCCCAAACTTCGAAAAAAATTTGTGTAAGGATTATTGTTTAGAATATTCATAAGTTTAGCAACAAGAGAGTCAACTAACCAGTCACTAAGATTGAGCTTATTTTTCATCTCATTTTCAGTATCGAAAAAGTAAAGTTGCAAATGTGAAGGATGATTGTTTACGAGAAAAAATTCATTCATAAAATGGTAAACCCGACCTTGAATTCTAAATGTATAAATACCATTATAATTTGCACATAAATTTTTATCATAATTTACACCAAATAATGTCATAGAAAAATTGCAATTATAGCTTCGTATCGTATTTCTAAAGTTTATACTTTCTTCAGAATTTGAGGTAAACAACATACGTAATTTTACATGCACATCATTTGTTTTTAAAATAACTTGTCCATTCAAACAACAAAATCCCTTAGATTCTCTGTAAAATTTTAAAGCGCCACAATGATCACAAATATTTGGCTCAGGTGGCACATAGGGTTTCGAAAAAAGATTATCGTCATATTGCCGTGTTTCTAAAACCCCTAACACAAAAAAAAAAAAAATTAAGAAAATTTCAATATGGAATAAAAATTGACAATAGATTGTTACCACTACTTACAACAAAACATGTATGGTGAATTATACATCAGTAAAATGAAATAATAATTCATGATTCTTACTAGGCTCTTTGTCAGAATGTTCTTCACCATCGAACCCTTCAACTATAACAAAGCTATCACATTTTGATGCCACATTTAATTGCAAAGATTTCCCGGATTTTACCCTTTTTTGTTACGAAGATTGTCGTATTTGTCTTCTATTACATTAGCAGCATTTCGTTGTCGTTTACTATGCAATTCTGCTCCCTTTGAACTCCCTGAATTATTCCATTCACAAGAACAATAAATATTAACATTAAACATAAGCCTAAGGCAAAAAAATAAAATATGTATTTCATACAACGAAACTTCATATACAAAATTCAAACATAAAAACCATATAAATGAGTTCACATAATCGATAAGAGCACAATTACTAACCAGCACCAGCAGTTTCAATAGAAGCGATCTCTTCATTCAGGAGAGAAAACTTATTTCGAGCAGATGATCGGATCATTTTACAATCAAAACAACAGATCGAGAGATCAAATCTAAAAAAATAACAAAAGGCTATATATAAGAATATAGAGGGGGAAAAAGGCAAAAAACTATACTTGAGAGACATCAACTGGTTGATTCAGCCCTTCAAATTCATCGGTAGAGAGAAGACATGTACAGCAGAAAAGATTACAGCTAATTATAAAGTAAAAAAAATAAAATTACGAACACTATAAATTTCACCAACCAAACAATAGATTAATTGACACAGTTTAAATACTTTTCTTCCGCATCAAAATCCCGAGACAAATTATGTAACAAAAAAAGAACAAAAAAAAGTTTAATTGAATACAAATCTTCAAATACCCATAAAAAGAAACAGAAACTTATATATATATATATATAACACAAGTAAGCAACATATGGTGCACTTTAAAATAAAACAAAAGAATATGAACAAATACGTAAGGGGGGAAAAAAAAGGAAGAGCTTAGACGGCCTAAAAAAAAATGCTACCAGATTAGAGGAGGCATAAAGCACAAAATGTTCATTAAAAAACACAAAAACACCAAAAGGAGTCAAATAATCAGAAAAAAACAAAACAATATCAAAATACACCTGGGTTTGCAATGTTAAGAAGGGAATCTGAGTTTCGAACGAAAACGCAGAGAGAAAGAGCAAGAGACGGAGCGGAAATCACACCAAAAGGAGTCAAATAACCAGAAAAAACAAAACAATACCAAAATATATCTGGGTTTGCAATGTTAAGAAAGGGATCTGGATTTCGAACGAAAAGGCAGAGGGAAGGAGCAAGAGATGGAGGTTTGCAATGTTAAGAATGAGATCTGGGTTTCGAACGAAAATGCAGAGAGAAAGAGCAAGAGACGGAGTGGAAATCGAGGGAAAAATGAGGAAGAGTGTAGAAGTGGAAGCGAAGGTAGCAGGAGAAAGCGTGTAGAAATTAAACGGTGTCGTTTTGACTTTTTTTTAAAAAAAAATCAAAGGAAAAATGATGTCGTTTTGGCCCCAGAAGTGGGAAAAAAATGACATCATCATGGCGTAAATGGTGATGCCTTAAGAACAGTAGCAAGCAGCTTCTCTCTTTTAATATTGTAGGGAAATATAAAATAAATTTTATAGTTTTATTTTCTATTTAAAATAAGAAGTCATTTAAATTTTATTATTCTCTTTTTACTACTAATGATATGGTATAGATTATTTCCTGCTTTAAACAGATAAATACAATTTATGTAGTTTCTTATTAGTCTAATTTAAATAATATTATGTTAATACAGTTCTATGCAATTCAGTCACAAGAAACTTCTGATAACTAACTACTACCAATCTTTTAAAAAAAGGTGAAATTTCATTTAAAGTATAAATTGTTAAATTTTTCGTTCATTTGTATTGAGAATCACGTTATCAAATATTAGAGACTTGGAGTTAACTCGCAAGATGCGTGCGAACATCAATGTTGAATTTCGTATGACCGTGTGATTCTTTATTGGATTGAATTGTTCATTTAATCTTATGTTCTGATACCATATTAGAGATTTGAAGTTCTATCTTAAAAGATTATTAAGATTGACCTCAACCCGCTTACTCAAGTCTTGTATGGATACATTCATGCACGAAGTATACGTAGTTCAAATTTGTGGAACAAATTATGCATAAAATTATCTTGGCATTTTTGCATATCCAATTCCTCTACGCTTTGTAGGTAAGATCATGAACAAAAAGCTCGAAAAAACCTCATTCCTAGAGGCAAATTCATCATCAAAACATTCAAATTCTCTCCCGCATGAGGAAAAAAAAACAATTTTGAAAATCAAAATCACTCAGAGGAAAGATCAAGAACACGAAAAGCGACATAAATGTTGAGAATTTACTTAATCATGCAAAACAGAAATAATACAATTTTCAATTTCCACCAAAGATCGGCAATATGTTTAGATAGAAACTGTGATGTGAATTATACCTTTGATAAATTTCACAAACT